CCCCAAAACCCCAAAACCCCAAAACCCCAAAACCCCAATCCAAGTTTAAAATATTGAATTAATTGAGTGATTATTTATGCTAAACCCATTTATTCTATTGGTCTTCTAAATTCAGTCTTCTCAGCTTCTCTTCTACTCCAATTATTTCAGTCTCGGTTATTGAGGTTTGGGCGTTTAGGTGGAGAGGGAGGGCATTTTGGGAGGAAGAGTCAGAGTCTGAAATGTCGTTGAACCTGTCTTCTTCTGATCTTTCTGTCTCTGTTATGGCGTCGCTTAGATAGCTGAGCTCATTGGTACCATAATATCCCATCCCAAATCCTCTCTCTAAATTTCCCTTCTGGCCCAGACTTTCACCAACGGCCGAGGATCCCTTATTGGGCGCTTTCAAAAGAGACTCAGACTTATTCGTGAAGCCAGGAGATGAAAAATCTTTGCTGAGGTTGCGCACCGGGTGACCAGTGGGACGCCCATACTTCTGGTCAAGGTATTTTTGACGCGAAGACTTTTCAGGCGTCTTGTGCTTAGTAGATGGGATCAATGGCATGTCTAGAAGTTAGAGAAAGGCTACCTTCTTCGTTGTCGCAGGGGTTGGGCTCGAATTTGGTGTCAGCTATCGATTTGAGGATTTCTTCAGGGTTTAGAGTGGGGGAAAGAGGGGTGTTGGAGGAGGAGTCACTGAAGTCGTAGATGTCGTGTCTTTTGATGACCTGAGTAGGATTGAACTTGCATCTTTTTAGTTTAGGAGCGTTTAGGAAGCCGTTTATGTCTTCTCTAATCTCTTTCCGGATTATGTCACTAAATAATATGAGGACTCTTAATATGAAGAATTGAGTAATTTTAGTGAGATAAGCTTACTCATCATTATCAAATGACATATCTTCTTGATTAGAATCAGGAGTTCCAAACCCTATAATTAAGACATATGAAAGAGCAAGTTCTTACCTTGGCTACTTCAGTCTTCACACGAGCTGCAAATGCTGAGACCTCTCATTCTTACTTGAGCTTCCTTTCTTCTTCGTTTGGCAGATCTTTTCTTGTTAGGAGTGGGAGTCCTTCAATCATTATTTGCCAAGTTTTGTCTGATAAACTGCCTTTGCTCATTTTCTGAGTCACTGAAATTAGATAGTGAATTTGATGATCTCGAGCCATTATGAAATCTATAGATTTCCTTCTGAAGGTTCTCTTCTGCATTTATCTGAGCGAATTCGTCATTCAGATCTATTCCTTGAGCGAATATTTGATCTAGGGCTTTAGTCTGGTCTACAATTGGAGCTTTCTTATATATTGGATGGAAGTGAATGGCTCCATTTGAGACGCGAGTTGGGATATCTCTGAATTGACAATCTTCTGAGAAATTAGGATCTATCTGCTCAAGGTTTCTTTCTTCAAAGCAAGAGTCTTCCTGCATATTTGATAGGTCTCATTCAATACCTGAGATTTCTTCTGAAATTCTGGGTTTCAAACCTTTTGACTTTGAGTCTATTGCTAGATTAATCATTTAGAATTTGAAAATGTTTAGTAAATTTTATGGATTGGATGTCAAAAGCCCAAATTTTCCAGCAAACTAAAATTTGTTGAGTATTGAATATAAACCTATCAAAGACACAAGTTTAGACTAGACTGCTAAAATTACCTCTATTTCATTGATTGCTCATATTTATTGAAGTTCAGTTAGTATCTAGAGCTCCAGAGCACCTTTTTGGTAATGTATGCATTTTAGTTGGGGTATTATCATGATAGACATCTCTATTGTCAAAACTGGGTTTATAGGGCTTTCTTGTAGTTAATATCATACCTCCGCTTTTCTTATCATAATATTTCCCTTCAATACTATGGTCCCATAATTCACCTCTGACTCTTTTGCTTCTAGAAAGAGGCCTTTTTCTGCTAGTTCTCCTCTGTTCTCTTTTGTATTGCCTCTTGTGTTCCAGTAGAAATTCTTGATGTGAGAATTCCTCATTAAAATTGGAGTCATAATGATCATGGTCAGTGTCCATTCCGCGATTTAAAATTTTAAAAATTAGTAATAATTTTCAATTATTTTAAATTCAAAAGGGGTTTTGGGGTTTTGGGGTTTTGGGGTTTTGGGG